TACTCCAGAATGAATAATATTTGGCATAACACAGAGCAGTTCGATGGAGGTATGAACAGGATATGGTATACAAATACCATTCTCCTATCCCTGTCTTCGGGGCTTATATTAGAGAAAACAGAGTGTAGCACAGGGCTAACTGTCATATACACTCGTACTGCACCATAAACCTGAAACAAAAAAGTTATTTTCTCTCTATAGATTATCACACATAGCAGCATATGTGTAGAGAACCTAGGATAACCCAAAAAAAAGTCAACGTGGCTTATTTTTAGTACCTGGCTTGGGTTAGCCATATATGATTTTGGTAAATATTTGATTCCCAGCCAGGGTAGAAACATTAGGTGTGTTTCTTTACACCTGTTGTCTATGTTTACCCATCAGTAAATGGGTACCTGGGTGTTAGTCGACTAGTGTGGGTGTTATCCTGGGACACTGACCTAATTTTCTTGAAATATTCTGCATAACAAGCAGCTTTCTTTACAGTAGTATGTCACTGATGTCAGCTAGGCCTGTATACCTTGTACATGTACGTGTAATAAATAAAGATATTATTATTATTATTATTATTATTATTATTATTATTATATTATTTTCTCAGTTGTTTGTTGGGTTATCTTATTCAAACTTGGGCAATGTATGATGGAAAGATACTTTTTCACATACACCAAAAATGAGAGAAATCAGACCATAAATAGTGGAGTTCACTTCTCAGCCATTAGCGGCCACTTAGCGGTATATTTTTGTATGGTTGTTATGGTTATATTCTCATTTTTTCAGTCTCATTTGATAGAATGAAAGATATATTACAGAAATAGATATGATTTTGATTGCTTTCATGACGAAAAGTACCTTGAAATTGCGCTCACAGTAGCGAAAATGTTCTATTCTTTAGTGAAGCTCAAGAGTAAACAAATGACGTCACCGTCCAATACCTGTCCACCTGCCAGTCCAGTACGTAGTCAAGAATGGCTTGACATTATTTATACAATTATTACAATAATGCAACAGTCTGCATAACAGTAAATCTTCTATTTTTTTGTGAATAAAAATTCCAAATGAAAAGCAAGAGTAATATAAGAGGGGCCTGTAGCAGTGACTAATTAACAGAGAAAATGTTATTTTAGTGCCAGGAATGTCTGCATTCTTTATTCTGGATCCTATTTTGAAATTGGCATCTGTTGAAATTTGTATGAAATCGGCCAAATTGCCAATTTCTGACCACTTTATTGGGTAGTTGAAATAAGTGAATGGGCAGTTTCTTGTACTACTCAGTTGACAGACTAGAAGTAAATAAGTTTATTCAGGTATACACAAATACAGTTACATAGACTATCTTACATAGCAGTGTATGTATAGAGAACCTAGGATAACCCAGAAAAGTGAGACAAAGTGACTTATTTCCAGTACCTGGCTTGGGCTTGTCATATATGATTTTTGGTAAATATTTTTTTTTTCTTGGTGGTTTGTTGGGCTATCTCATTGAAACTTGGGCAATGTATGATGGAAAGATGCTTCTTAACGTACAACAAAAATAAAAAAGATGGACGATAAATAAGGGAGTTAACTTCTCAGCCATTAGCCGCCTCTTTGCAGTATATTTTTGTATGGTTTTTATGGTTGTATTCTCATTTTTTTGGACTCATTTGATAGAATGGAAGATATATTACAGAAATAGACATGATTTTGATTGCTTTCATGACGAAAAGTACCTTGAAATTGAGCTCAAAGTAGCGGAAATGTTCGATTTTTGCTGATGTTCAATGAACTGTGTAAGTCAAATTGGTTAATTTTATTAAGTGTATTCTAACCTAACCACTCTGTAATTCGGCAAACTCAGTAATCCAGCACACTACAGGTCCCAATGATGCCGGATTTGTGATGGAGGACCTGTATCAACACTACATCTTATTTGCCTATCACAATTGATCTAATATGACATAAGAAACAATATAAATAACATAAAACATGTTAAATACTTCAGAATGAATAATATTTGGCATAATACTGAGCAGTTCGATGGAGGTATGGAGAGGATATGGTCAGCACTTACCAGCCTGATAAGAAGGTCAAAAAAATTGTATTATGAAAATAGATTACATAACATCAAAGGTGTTATGAAAAAAACCTGGAAAACTCTATCTGAAATTCTTGGAACTAAAAAGTTATCCAAAAACAAAGCAATCAAACTAACAAAATCAGATGAACCCCTACTTCAACCGAAACAGCAAACAGTCTTAATGTTTTCTTCTCCACCATAGGAAAAAATCTAGCAAACAAAATACCAAGCACAAACACCCGTCCATCAGACTACCTCATAGGAACCTACCCAAATACGCTATTCCTAGCTCCAATCAACCCCACTGAAGTTATGCTCATCATAAACACCCTTAAAAACAAGGCAGGAGACATAAACAACTTACCTGCTTTTATGTACAAAAAAGCTTCTCAAGTATTGTCACCAATTATTGCAACGCTCTTTAACAAATCCATTGAATCGTCTACCTTCCCAACAATCCTCAAAATAGCGAGGGTCACTCCGATCCATAAAGGAGGTGACCAAGCTGACTTGAATAACTATAGACCAGTATCTAACTTACCACTGCTCTCTAAAATATTTGAAAAATTAATTCATAGACGGATCTATTCCTACCTCGTTTCACACAACATATTAAACCCTTGTCAGTTTGGATTCAGGAATAATAAAAGCACAAATGACGCTATCATACACATGCTAGAACTAATATATACAGCACTTGAAAAGAAAGAAGTCCCTCTGGGCATTTTCATTGATTTACGTAAAGCTTTCGATACAGTTGACCATGAACTACTGTACTCCAAATTAATGCACTATGGTATCAGAGGCCACTTCCTCAACTACCTAAAGTCATACCTTAGTAACAGAACTCAATATGTGTATGCAAATGATGCAAACTCCTCCACCCAACCAATCACAGTAGGAGTCCCACAAGGAAGTGTCCTTGGATCACCCCTCCTTCTCATCTACATCAATGATCTACTGAATGCATCACAGCTACTCAAACCCATATTATTTGCAGATGACACTACATGTGTATTTTCCGACCCAAACGCAGTCGTACTAGCAAACACAGTCAATGCTGAATTACAGAAAATATCTGCCTGGATGATGACTAACAGACTTACCCTGAACACTGATAAAACCTTTTTCATTCAGTTTGCAAACAAAGCTGCAAATGATCCAATTAACATTACACTAAATGGATCATCAGTCACAAGACTCGGAGGGAAAATTCCTAGGTATCCACCTTGACAGTAGCCTTAAGTTCCGGACACACATACAACAAATCACCAAGAAAATCTCCAAGACTGTAGGCATACTATCAAAGATAAGGTACTACGTTCCACAATCAGCTCTCCTGGCACTGTACCATTCACTCGTATACCCTTATCTTACATATGGAATTTGTGCATGGGGATCAACAACATCCAATCACCTAAAACCCCTAATAACCCAGCAAAAGGCAGCAGTAACACTGATAACAAATTCCCACTCCTGCCAGCATACTCCACCAATTTTCAAAAGTCTGAATCTGCTTACCATTAAGAACATCCATACTTATTCATGTGCCTACTACATACACAGGACAATACACGCAAATATAAACCCCCCACTCAAACTTTTCCTCACCAGCCTAAACAGGACACATGACCACAACACAAGACACATCTCTTTTTGATATACCTCATGTCCATATCACACTGTGTAAAAACTCTATGCACATAAAGGGCCCCAAAATATGGAATTCATTACCAGAAGATATTAAAGTAACCCAGTCTGAAAATCAATTTAAGACTCTTCTCAAAAGCCACTTAATCACCCTAGAGGCCTAGACTAAATGCTAAATACTCAGTACACATTTACTCACCTATGTACTCCCACATCATAACTGAAACAATCACATTGAACCTTTTATCCCTTGTTGACAGGAATATAATTAAATCATTGTTTTTCACAAAAGCATTTTAGAATATGAATATATCTTTGTATTATACAAATTTTGTTTCATTTATAATTAATATTTTACTGTACAACTATGAAATAATTACTTTCCTACTGTACAACTATGATATACCACTCCTTAGTATTAAGTAGAATATAAGCCAATACAGTGGACCCCCGCATAACGATCACCTCCGAATGCGACCAATTATGTAAGTGTATTTATGTAAGTGCGTTTGTACGTGTATGTTTGGGGGTCTGAAATGGACTAATCTACTTCACAATATTCCTTATGGGAACAAATTCGGTCAGTACTGGCACCTGAACATACTTCTGGAATGAAAAAATATCGTTAACCGGGGGTCCACTGTAATGTTAAGTTGGCCCATAATGCCTAGGCATAATAGAGGCTCTCTTTGCATTTCAACCCACTATTGTATATACACAATCTCAATGTACTGTTTGCAAAGACATTAAATAAATAAATTAAATAAATAAATACAAATACCATTCTCCTATCCCTGTCTTCGGGCTTATATTAGAGAAAACGGAGTGTAGCACAGGGCTAACTGTGTGGCAATGTATGATGGAAAGATGCTTCTTAACGTACAACAAAAATAAAAAAGATGGACGATAAATAAGGGAGTTAACTTCTCAACCATTAGCTGATTTTTAATGGTTGTATTCTCATTTTTTGGACTCATTTGATAGAATGGAAGATATATTACAGAAATAGACATGATTTTGATTGCTTTCATGATGAAAAGTACCTTGAAATTGAGCTCAAAGTAGCGGAAATGTTAAATTTTTGCCGATATTCAGTGAACTGTGCAAGTCAAGTTGGTTAATTTTATTAAGTGTATTCTAACCTAACCTCTCTGTAATCTGGCAAACTCGATAATCCAGCACACTACAGGTCCCAATGATGCCAGATTTGTGATGGAGGACCTGTATCATTAAAAAATTAATAAGTATCAGGATTTGTTGTTTCTAAAATTATTGTGTGTTATCCTTTCAGATAAATTTTCCACTGTGGTTAAATGCAGACATATTAAAGGGCCCAGTGTTGAGTGGCAGTATAGAGCCCATAGATGCTGATAAGTTCCTCGCTTGGTGTTCAGAGTCCTTCCCTCAGGTTCGTATCACCCATAACTTCATGAACATGGTCTAGTCCACGTCTTGGAGTCATTTTTCATTTCTTAATATAGTTCATCATTAAGTTAGCAAAGATTAGAACTTTGTAACTTGCTAAACCACAATTCTGTATTTTTGTGTACACCACTGGATGGTTGAAATGATTATAAATATAAAAATTAGACATGGTATTGTATATCAAAGATATCAAGAGTAACTATTTTGTTTCTGACAGGTAAGTGGCAGTTAAATTTTCATTTACTGTACAGTATTTCAGCTAAATTTTCGTTTAGTAAATTTTTTTTTTTTTAACAAGCGGCCGTCTCCCACCGAGGCAGGGTGACCAAAAAAGAAAGAAAATCCCCAAAAAGAAAATATTTTCATCATCATTCAACACTTTCACCTCACTCATACATAATCACTGTTTTTGCAGAGGTACTCAGAATACAACAGTTTAGAGGCATGTACATATAAAGATATACCGTACAACATATCCCTCCTAACTGCCAATATCCCAAACCCCTCCTTCAAAGTGCAGGCATTGTACTTCCTATTTCCAGGACTCAAGTCCAGCTATAGACCAATAAGCCTTACCTCCATAGTGGAAACATTTAGGGAATTAATAATTGCCGAAGCAATTCGTAGCCTTCTTGATAGGCATAAACTGATTGAGTCTCAACACGGTTTTACAAAGGGGGGTTCCTGTCTTAACGAATTTACTAACTTTTTTCACTAAGGTGTTTGAGGAGGTAGATTATGGTAATGAATATGATATTTTGTATATGGACTTCAGTAAGGCTTTCGATAGAGTTCCACATCAGAGGCTACTGAGGAAATTTAAGGCACACAGAATAGGAGAAACTTTTTCCTGGGTAGAGGCATGGCTGACAAATAGGCAGCAGAGAGTTTGCATAAATGGGGAGAAATCAGAATGGGGGCACGTCACAAGTGGTGTTCCGCAGGGGTCAGTGTTGGGCCCTTTGTCATTCACAATTTACATAAACAACATAGATGAAGGAATAAATAGTGAAATAAGCAGATTTGCTGATGACACCAAAATAGGCCGTCCAATTCATTCTAATGAGGACACTAGAGCACTCCAGAATGATTTGAACAGACTGATGCAATGGTCAGAGAAGTGGCAGATGCAGTTTAATATAGACAAATGCAAAGTTCTAAATGTTGGATAAGAAAATAACCATGCCACATACAAACTAAATAATGTAGATCTTAATACTACTGATTGCAAAAAGGATTTAGGAGTTATGATTAGCAGTAATCTAAAGCCAAGACAGCAGTGCATTAGTGTTTGCAATAAAGCTAACAGAATCCTTGGCTTCATATCTAGAAGTATAAATAATAGAAGTCCTCAGGTTGTTCTTCAACTCTATATATCCTTGGTTAGGCCTCATTTAGCTTATGCTGTACAGTTCTGGTCACCGTATTACAGAATGGATATAAATGCACTGGAAAACGTACAGAGGAGGATGACAAAGTTGATTACATGTATCAGAAATCTTCCCTATGAGGATAGACTGAAGGCCCTGAATCTGCACTCTATAGAAATGCGTAGAATTAGGGGGGATACAATCAAGGTGTATAAATGGAAAACAGGAATAAATAAAGGGGATGTAAATAGCATGCTGAAAATTTCCAGCCAAGACAGGACTTGCAGCAGTGGTTTCAAGTTGGAAAAATTCAGATTCAGGAAGGATATAGGAAAGCACTGGTTTGGTAATCGAGTTGTGGATGAGTGGAACAAACTCCCGAATACAGTTATAAAGGCTAAAACGTTGTGTAGTTTTAAAAATAGGTTAGATAAATACATGAGTGGGTGTGAGTTGGACCTGACTAGCTTGTGCTACTAGGTCTGATGCCGTGCTCTATTTAAGTGGAAGTGACCTGACTAGGTGGGTCATTGGGCTAATCCAGGGGAAGGGGACATGGACCTGCTCCGCATGGGTCAGTAGGCCTGTTGCAGTGTTCCTTCTTTCTTATGTTCATGTATAAAAATAACCGGTTTCCCTGAATCCCTTCACTAAATATTACCCTGCTCACACTCCAACAGCTTGTCAGGTCCCAAATACCATTCGTCTCCATTCACGCCAATCTAACATGCTTACACACGCTTGCTGGAAGTCCAACCCCTTGCCCACAAAACCTCCTTTACCCCCTCCCTCCAACCTTTTCGAGGATGACCCCTACCCCGCCTTCCTTTCCCTACAGATTTATACGCTCTCCATGTCATTCTACTTTGATCCATTCTCTCTAAATGACCAACCCACCTCAACAACCCCTCTTCAGCCCTCTGACTAATACTTTTATTAACTCCACACCTTCTAATTTCTACACTCCGAATTTTCTGCATAATATTTACACCACGCATTGCCCTTAGACAGGACATCTCCACTGCCTCCAACCATCTCCTTGCTGCAGCATTTACAACCCAAGCTTCACAACCATATTAGAGTGTTAGTACCACTATACTTTCATACAGTCCCTTTTGCCTCCATAGATAACGTTTTTTTCTCCACATATACCTCAACTCACCACTCAGTTACCCTGTGCTATATAATTTTATACATTGTTTTATGTAGTAATTAGTACATTATTATATTGTCATTTGGGGTCTGAAACAAATTAATTCTATTTACATCATTCTTCATGGGAAAAATTGCTTTGGTTGTCGAATCAACATCTGGATGAATTAAATTTGAAAACCGAGGTTCCACTCTGCTGACTGTACTTACCTACAAAATCTGACATTCATTTGTTAATGTTTATTATTTTCCTTTTGCCAGGCAACACTTTCAGTTGGATGGACAACAAAATTCACCTCTTCCGATGATGATAAAGGAACATATACAAAGAAAATGGTTGAGGAGATGTCAGACACACTTGAAAAAAACACCATCACTCAACCTATCACATTCCCAATTCGAGCTGCTTTTATTGGACGGTCATTGGAGTCACTTGAATGGTTGGTGGATGCTGTAAGTTATTGAATTGTTTGTGTTGTGCATATTAGATGCCAGTAGTAATTTAATCCAGGGGTGATTCAGCTAATCTAACATTGTGAGTCAAAATTTGCTCAACATGACATTGCACTATCCAGATGGTTGTAATGTATAAATACTTTCAATAAATTTTTTTAGTACAGAATGGTTCTTACAACATTTGCATTTGTTTGATAAGATAATACAGTGGACCCTTGGTTTTCATCTATTTTTGGCTTTAGTTTTCATTGATTACCTTAGTTTTCATCGATCGTATGGAACCTGTCCAGTCCCCAGCGTGCAGGCAGAGCTGCCTCCCACACACTTTCTCAGCCAGTGTTGTGTTATTTTCGGTCAGTGAACATATCCTGCCAGGTCATATGAAACTTTTCATAATAATCCATTTCCGTTGTTTTTGCCACTTGTTTATTGTGTGTGACTGCTAAATAAGCCACCATGGGCCCAAAGAAAGCTTCTAGTGCCAGCTCTTTGGTAAAGAATGTGAGAAACACGATATAATTAAAAAAAAAAAATTGTAGAAAAATACGAAAGTGGTGGTGGTAGAGGGTGGTAGTGATGGTGGTAGAGGGTAGTAGTGGTTGTGATGGTGGTAGAGGGTGGTAGTGGTTGTGATGATGGTAGAGGGTGGTAGTGGTTGTGACGGTGGTAGAGGGTGGTATTGGTTGTGATGGTGGTAGTGGTTGTGATGGTAGTGGTTGTGATGGTGGTAGAGGGTGCCTTCTTCAGAGATTCAGCAATTCTGCTAACTCCTCTAATATTGTTGGAGTTATATAGGGCTACAGGAAACACCACTGCCTCAGCTGCTGCTTCACCACCATTATGTACAGCTTATTCTCTTAGTGGCCCTTATACACCCAACAACAACAACAACAGTCGTGACATACATAATGACTTACTTTATTCATTCTAGAGTATATTCCATGTTTATGTATTATTAATATTGTTTATTATGTCATGTTAGTTGAATTGTGATAGATAAATAAGCCGTAGAGTTGGTATTAGTGTCACATTCTCCAACAATAAACTCGCCTCCCCTCCTCTGCCATTGACCAACAAGAGTCTTCAATAAAGGTAAGTGTGATGTTAAATGTTCTTTTATACATTTTATTAGTGCTTTACATTTATTTGTTATTCTTTTCTGCATGTAAATCTATATTTAAGCTAGGGAAGTGACCCCTGATAAGAACTTAGTACCTCGAGTCCTTATGGAGGGGGACTCCCCTTCCAAACAGTAACCTCTCTTCCCTCTCCCTTTCTTCCTGTCTTCCATCCATCAACAACAGCCTTCAGTAAAGGTAACTGTCAAGTGTAATGCTCATTCTTTTGTGCATGTAAATTTTTGTTGATACTTCTGGGTGTCTGAAATGGATTAATTCCATTTACATTATTTCTTATGAGGAAAATGGTTTTGGTTTTGGCCTATTCTGGTTTTAGCTGATGGCTCTGGAACGGATTAAACACGAAAACCAAAGGTCCACTGTATTTAAATAACTTTAAATAGGGTTTGAGTCTTACCTGTTAGTAATAATAGGGATAGTAGTTATGAGCTAGTAACTCAAATATTGAGTGAAGGGATTATCATCTAACTTGAACACTGAAAGGTATACTACATGCAAAAGTGTAATGCTTTAAATTTTTCTTGGCATTTACACTTTTTTACTCTTCAACCAGTTCTTTGATCATGTGTAACCTTAGTCCTTCCTAGGAATAAAATCCTGGTGACCATTCTTTGCCTTTCTTCCCATGTTTCATGGGTGCCCCATCCTAAAACACATCTGAAATGATGGAAAATGTTTGGAAATAGTGTAGAATTACTGGTATAATATAGTGGGAAATTGTTTTAATAGAAACAAGTTTGGATTTTTAGATAAACATTTTAGTCATATGCATTATAATCACCAGGCTTCATTTGTCAACCTTCAACAGGCCATAAAAAATCAGGAAAGTTTTCATAAAGTTTTTTTCAGTTCTCTTATTTATTTTTAGCTTTTGGTGCTCTTCGATCCTGTAAGAAAAATAAGAAATTATTTAAAAGTAAAATCACCAGTATAAGGGTGTTGTAGTTCTTGCTGTTGGTTAACATGATTCACGAAATCGTAATGACACGATTGCAAACAAACCATACCACGGGCGGGGATAGAACCCGCGATCAGAGAGTCTCAAAACTTCAGACCGTCGTGTTAGCCACTGGACGAGCTAGCCACAATAAGATTCATCCAACTAGGTATATTTCTACACCATAGGAAGGTTAGCATAGGCACCACTGTGACCACAAATGCAAGTTTTTACAGACGAATCTCCAGCCAGCGTGGCCATGACGAACTCTAGCTCAAGTCCCCTCAAAGCCGTCAACATGACTCATGAAATTGTAATGACACGATTGCAAACAAACCATACCACGGGCGGGGATAGAACCCGCGATCAGAGAGTCTCAAAACTCCAGACCGTCGCGTTAGCCACTGGACCGGCTAGCCACAATAAGATTCATCCAACTAGGTACATATATTTCTACACCATAGGAAGGTTAGCATAGGCACCACTGTGACCACAAATGCAAGTTTTTACAGACGAATCTCCAGCCAGCATGGCCGTGACGAACTCTAGCTCAAGTCCCCTCAAAGCCGTCAACATGACTCACTTGCATTTGTGGTCACAGTGGTGCCTATGCTAACCTTCCTATGGTGTAGAAATATACCTAGTTGGATGAATCTTATTGTGGCTAGCTGGTCCAGTGGCTAACGCGACGGTCTGGAGTTTTGAGAGACTGATCGCGGGTTCTATCCCCATCCGTGGTATGGTTTGTTTGCAATCGTGTCATTACGATTTCGTGAGTCATGTTGACGGCTTCGAGGGGACTTGAGCTAGAGTTCATCATGGCCACACTGGCTGGAGATTCGTCTGTAAAAACTTGCATTTGTGGTCACAGTGGTGCCTATGTTAACCTTCCTATGGTGTAGAAATATACCTAGTTGGATAAATCTTATTGTGGCTAGCTGGTCCAGTGGCTAACGCGACGGTCTGGAGTTTTGAGACTCTCTGATCACGGGTTCTATCCCCACCCGTGGTATGGCTTGTTGTTGGTGTTTTAGGGATTAGGATATGGTTTCAAATATTTTGATCACTAGTCTGTTAATCTTTGATCTCAGAGCTTAATCTCAAAATGTGCCTTTGCAAATTTGTGCTCTCAAACATGGAGCAGGTCTTCAGCAAAAAGTCTCAAGAAGTTTAGGAGACGCTTTCTACAAACTTTAGAAAATATCTTTTTGGTTAAAGAAAGATGGTGTAGTATTGGTGTCAGAAGTCTAGATGAGGATTCAGCAACTGTTATTCAACTGCACCTCCATGTTATGTAGCTCAAGACCAATTTATCGTGGTCTGCAATGTATCATTTCAAAATTTAAAAACTACTCATAGGATGTAACACTTCTCGATCATACATTAGGCTCTTAGGGTAAAAGTCAACAAGGTAAACCTAAAGACAAATGAAGTTAATGAGATTTCACTTGCAGCAATCCATTGGTACTAAGACTGTATATTTGCTTGACAAATAGGATGAGCAAATTCAGTCTGTGGAATGTTTTAGAAAAGTTTCAAGTGGTATATGAAATTATTTTTCCATCTCTTGGATGTGTTAGTGCTAAATACATTCAATACATCCCTAACGGATATAGTAAATAAACGACAACTTTAGAGATTGCTATTTAGCTGTTATTATACAAATACAGTATTTGAAAATGAAAATGTTAATTTCCTTGCAAAGCTTACAATGTGTGGTTTACATGTTATAAAGTATTAATTACAAAGAAGGCCACTAGCATGCCTAGGCATTTTGGCCAGACTTATACTAATTCTTACTCTATATTGGCACAGGTTATGGAGCAGTACATTTTAACATACATTAATGCATACTGATATAAAAGTTAGGTACTTGAAGTGATTAATTACATTGATAATAGTAGGGTAGTACAAAACTTATAACAATATTACAATTAGTAAATTTAGTAATGGCAATGGTTTTGTCTTGGCATGATATACTGTTTCTATTAAAGCTCCTATTTTGGGAGAGTATCTTAGGCAAACTTAACTTAAGATTTATTATGCAAAAGCTATATTAGGAATTTTATGTTTACAGTCATTTGGGTGAGTAAGTGTAAATTAGGGGGAATTACAGATAACGAGAGTAAATCTATTTTGTTTTGGATGTGTTCATGATACAAGAAGGAGAATTAGATGGGGTGTGTTAGGGTGATAAGATGTTTATTAACGGTAGTTTTGAATATGGTGGTTGAGTCTGTGGTTCTAGAGTTTTCAGGCAGGGGGTTCCAGATTTTAGGCCCTTTTATATACATCGAATTTTTGCAGAGATTTAGCCAGACATGAGGAATGTCAGAGATTTTTGTGTCGGATATTGTGTTTATGGGTTCTGTTGCAACTATCAAGAAAGTGTTTTAGTTCAGGGAGGTAATACCGTCCTGCCAGGTGAGTGTAAAACAGAAGCCTGTATTTGTTTTACATAGTTGTAGGATTGCTTGTGTCTTTTCTGTCTCATAAATTTACAAAATTTCAGGTACGTCTTGCTGATTCTACTTGCACTTAGGTTACACTACACATGCATATAGAACCTCTCGTCACTTAGTGATGTACTCGTTTACCGATGATTTGGACTTAAAATGGGCTCTCTGACCAGTATGCACACCTAGATAATGTATTTAAGAGCTAATTCCTCTATTCTGTTTACTATAATATACAGTACATACTGTATAAACATTTAAAAATGTACTAAAAATGTTATAAATGGTGCAGAGGTGACATAAAAACAATATCAAAGATAGTTGACACAGACATACTACCCTTATATATGTATTCTCCTTGCTTAGCAATGAATTCATTTACTGACATGGTCTTAGGAACGGAACTCCATCATTAAGTGAGGAGAGGCTGTATATATACACCCCTCTTGGTTTTCTTCCATTTTCTTACTAGTTCTTTTTTATTTCCTCTTATCTCCATGTGGAAGTGGCACAAAATTCTTCCTCCGTAAACCATGCACGTCGTAAGAAGTGACTAACATGCCAGGAGCAAGGGGGCTAGTAACCCTTTTTCCTGTATACATTAAAAAGAGTAACTTTTGTTTTTCTTTTTTGGGCCAACCTACTTTTGTAGGATACAGCCAGTTTGTTGAAAGATGAAGAAGATAATTTGACTTAATGGTAGGCTCAGAAGAAAGCTACTAATTATGCAAAACCATCAGTGGTGTAACTTTGTTAAAAAAAAAAAAAAATGATTCTTAATTTGATGATGGCAGAGAGTGAAATTCAGGTGGTTAGGTGCAGATTTAACTATTTTGTGTGTAAATTTGTGCAAAATTTTGATTTCCATTTAATTGTCTTGATCAGAATGTATTTAATGGTTGTTGCACCTTACAGCTAAGATAGTATTCTTTCTGTGTGTGTGGGGGGGGGGCAAATCTGTCAATGCAATAAATATTTTTTTAAAACTTAGAATTTTCATCAAATTGGACTGTTCTGAAAAAAAAAAAAAAAAATTTCTTGTGGGTTTGTAGAGAATTCTAAGACTAATAAAACAAAAACAAAAAGTAATTCATTGAAAAATTGTGTTTTTAAAATGGTTTTTAAATTTCTTAAGTTGAGTGAACCTTTAAATACTGCATGGTGTGATGTCAGAACTATTCATCTGGTACCTATAGTTTCCTCATACTATCTAAGGTTTTTGTTTATAACTTTGCAATGCCTTATGCAGTAGGCTTCAAATTCTAAACAACTATTATTAGGTAGAAGTTCATTGTGCAGTTGGCATGTGCTTGTTCTCTATACTTAATTTAAAGTAGACCTTTCTTGAAATTGATTTCCATGAGATTGCTTAACCCTTTGACTGTCGCAACCCCAAATCCTGAAATGTCTCCTGGTGTCGCAAAATTTTTGGAAATTTTTTTTTTTTTTTTCTTATGAAATGATAGAGAATCTTTTCCCGATGGTAATGACACCAAAAGTACGAAATTTGTTCGAAAACTTATGGAATTACGCTCCCCCGAAGTTAGCGATCTCAGCGTTATACAGTATACGCATCGGCGATTTCGCCGACTGAGCCCTATTTTCGGCCAATTCCATTGTTCCAGTCGACCAAACTCATAGCTATTTCTGTAGAACTCTATTTTTTCTATCAATTGAGTACAAGAAACTGCCCATTTACTGATTTCAACTACCCAATAAAGTGGTCAGAAATTGGCAATTTGGCCAATTTCACACAAATTAAAAAAGATGCCAATTTCAAAATAGGGTCCAGAATAAACAATGCAGACATTTTTTACACTAAAATAACATATTCTCTGGTCATTAGTCACGTCTCCAGGCCCCTCTTACATTACTCTTGTTTTCTATTTTGATTTTTTATTCACCAAAAAATAGAAGATTTACTGTTATGCAGACTACTGCATTATTGTAAAAATGGTATAAATAATATCAGTTCACTAGCGAAAGAATATTAGACTCCCCAGTTGATGTGTATTGGACGTGTGGTGTGATTTGCTTACTCTTGAACATTGGTAAAAATCAAATATTTTCACTACTTTGAGCTCAATTTCAAGGTCATTTTCATCGTGAAACTAATCATCTCTATTTCTGTAATATGTTTTCCATTCTATCAAATGAGACCAAGAAAATGAGAATACAACCATCAGTACTATACAAAAATACACCTCAAAGTCGGCGTTTTAATCCAAAAACACTGCACAGCACTGCGTGCTGCAGGATTTTTTTTATGTGGTACACACTGACCACACACACCCATTTTCTCACATGTGGGCTTACCAGCTTTCTCCTGCTTGATTTGAAGCCGCCAGAATTATTGAGTATATATATGTCCGAAACACTGGCTAGTAAGACGTATACGTACATGTATATACGGTCGAAGCAGTCAAAGGGTTAAAGGTCATCTTTTCATTGTTATCACAGTTTCAGGAATTGCTGAGTGATTGACTTATGTTGTCATTTGTTAAACATTCACATATATACACAGGCTGAAGATGGTGGAGAAAGTGGTGGTGATGCTGGTTACATACATGCATATCCACATATATGCATAGACAGCAGAACCCACATATCCGTGGAGGATACGTTCCAAGGACTTGCCATGGATGCCGAAACCACGGATAGTAGCAAACCTTATACGTACAGCCTCTCCTCACTTAGCAACATATTAGTTCACCAACGACTCGGACTTACGATGGGCTATTTGACCAGTATGCATATCTAAATAATGTATAGTAGAGCTGATTTCCTCTATTCTGTTTATTACAATATACAGCATACTACTGTATAAACATTTAAAAGTATAAAAGAAATGTTATAAATGGTGCAAAGGTGACATTAAAATAATATCAAAGATGGTTGACACAAGCCCTGTGCCATTATAGTATGCTCTTCACTTAGTGATGATTTTGTTTATTGATGTGGTCTTAGGAATGGAACTCCATCGTTAAATTTAATTGATAAATTATGCACAGTAAGTAGAGAATTATCACTTTTTCACTGATGGGAAGTGCTTCATGGCTTCTCTTAGGCTTTGAAGAACTGCCAGCTTCTCTACTTTTGTGCTTTGAGGACATTATTATGCAAAATTAAGAGTTATTTTTGGGCCAAAATAAACTGTGGATAACTGAAACTGTGGATATGGAGTTTCTACTGTACATACAAATACACCTGCATGCATTTTTTTCTCGCAAGGTTTTACAACGTTAGCCTAAGGTTCCTAACTTTATTTAGAAGATAAGTGCTGTTACCTATGTCAGCTCATTAGAAAATCTTTTTATTGTTATGAAACATACAAATAGAGAACAGGATAAAGTTAGAACCATCTGTGGGCCAGTGATTTCATTTGGTCAACTGTACAAACATGTTCCAGATTCGAGTCATCCTGGAAATAAATAATTTCAAACGAAGTGATGTTCTGGAGGAGGGTACAGTCAGAATGAAGTTGCTGTTTGCTACCAATCTTGTTGTTGTGTATTCTCGGAGTGGAGCCAAGTGTGGTACTTAGACAGTATTAGCCTTATACATAAAAGTAAGGCCACCCACATCCCTCCAGCTCTGCTGAAATGGCAGATCTATCCAGGCTCGGTTCAGGCAAGAGATGAGCTGTCTTGCTCTGTCAAGAAGTCACAGATGAGATGGAGGGCAGGCAGTTCAAGAAAGTGGAACATACTCAAGGTGTGAATGCACTTGCAACCTCTACTACTGTTGTCCTTCCATGCTGTCAGACAGCTGTATTTGAAGATTAGTAAATTGTATACCGGTTTTGGCTTTAATTTCTGTTTGATTGTTGCCGCTTATCTGAGGGGAAATCTTGGATGTTTTTTTTCTTGCTCAGTCGCAAATACAGTTAAAGGTTTTGTGTACAGCATTGCTTGTTGATTTATTTAATTTGTTTTCAAGTCATTGTTGCTGGTGGTATGTTGTTTTCCCGTCACCTTGGTTTAAACAGGTGTAAAACTTTCACGGAACTTCCACTCGTAGTTGCTGAATCTCCAGAACCTGGATGTTGGCGACAGTGTAGATTTCTGGAATTACTTGATGTTCTCAAGAGACTCTATTAATTGAGCAGATGGCTTTCTCTGTAGAGAAATTCTTGAGATGCAGGTTTCTTTTGTTTTATACTACAGCCATTATGATGGAGAGAGGAAGTTGGTTTTGTTTAGTGCTCTGTATTTTTTGTTGAATCTGCTGTTTGGCTGCCCCATGTTTACTTTTACCAAGTTTTTAAAAATATAAACTTGGACTTGTTGGAAGTTGTATTCCTCATGAACACCAGATGATTTTTGAGTTAACTCCTTAATTCTGTCTGGGGGTGAAGATGTCTTTTTTTTTTTTTCATGCTTTGCTTTGGATTAGGTTTAAATGATAACATAATTATAGAATGTTTGTGTAGACTATATGACAAACTAATTATTGTTGTGTGTGTGTAAAGGGCCTTCAAATATTTTTCTCATCTCCAGATTCCTGATAGCACCATTACTGTGTGGAGTTCTGCATCAGATGACATTGATGTCCAAGCCCTTATTGCCCTCCGTGATAATGTTGGCCATGATGTAGTCTACTTTGACCTTCCAGAAAAACAACAAAAAGCTTTTGATGAAGCCAAAGTAAAAAGCCTCACTAGTGCTGCAGCAAAGTTCAATTTTTTTCCTCAGAATATTAATGCCTGGGCTACTGCAGGTGTTGCCCTAGCATCTGCTTTAGCTGCTCTGTATTTGTATGAATAACAAGAGTTGTCTATCTTGTTGGCTATTCCAGTTTATTAATGATTAATGAGTGCTGCCTTCAAGCTACATTAATTGAAGCAGGTATTTAATGTGCCTTACTACTATGACATAAACTACAATTACAACTTTTGAGTGAAAGATAAAACTACAGGAGGGCACCCTTCTTACGGCTTAAAGGTTCATGGCCCAAAACGGTAAGTGAAAATTGCTGGCAGGTGTGTAAAGCACCTGATAGCATGTTAACACTATCAAATATTAGGTGTTCAATACAGCTAGGCATAAAAAAAAAGATAAATACACTATACATACCTAAAATACAACATCAGTCGTCCTTCCTTATGCAACTCTTGTACAAAAATGGCAGTAAGTGGAAACACAGTAAAAGCACTGAACATAATGAAAAATGACTTACAGTAATTGAAAACTGCCAAAATAGTGAGACTGAAAAGGAGCTGAAAATACAGTGCCCTCCTGTATATATCATTCCTAAATACTTTTATACAGTAGGACTTTGTTTATCCAAAACCATTGATACCAAGGGCGTTCTTGTTAAGAGGGGAGGTGTGTGATGAGTAAAGGCATATAAAAAAATTGAAAAATGAGTTAAGCCTGCCAAAAAAAAAAAAAAAAGTTCAAGAATCTGGCAATATTTTGGCGTGTGTCAGCTCTGTACAATAATTCTATAAGAAGTTATAATTATAGTAAATGAGGTATTGGCATCATCGCAACACATGCCATAACAGTAGTACATTTGTTATATATTTGTGTGAAATGCTTGAAAATGCTCATTGGTAACCTTCACTATGGGTTAGGACAAGCAGCAGCTGCTACACACCACTAAGTGCCGACCAGAGGTTCAAGGAAGGTGGAAAGTACATAGTTGACTATCAAGATAATCTGAATGGGACTTGCCTCTGTATCCATTGTGAGGTTTGCACCTAGGACTTGATGTCTTATGATCCTTTTAACATTCATGAAAATGGCAAAAGCCACAAGAAGTATCAGAAGCAATTATTAACACAGCAAGATCCAAACCTTAGAAGGCAGTTGGTCCAGCAACATCTTAATGAGCCACGTGGAATATTTACTGAACAATCTCTGGAAGATATGATTGATTCGATGGAATTAAATGTATTATGTGTGCAGTTTGTATACAGCTATGTCAGAGATGATAGTCAAACTTATCTGGCCATCAAAAATGTTGTCACACTTGATTTCCAAGGATCACCATGGAAAATACATGGTTTGCAATGTAAAATACTTAAAAAGTCTAATTTGGCTATGATAAGAACTCATTTGATGACTTCAAAGAACTAGCAGAGGATATTGCAAAACTTGAAGGGAAGATTCATGCGAATATTTCAGATTTCACCAAGCAACTGCCACCAGTAATGACTGAGAATACTTCAGAAAATTTCATACCTACCTCTGGTTCAGACAGAAGTTTCCATTCTAGGAGGCACTCATGCAGCCAACATTCAAGCTGGTAGCTGCACATCTAGCAGTTCTTCATGTAGCTTAGCTTTTTTAATAGGATTAACCCTTTGAGGGTCCATCCCGTAGTTTTACGGCTTTGAAGTCAGGGTGCAAACCATAGTTCTACGCCATGAGCTCAGCTCAGCTCACTAAGATAAGCTGAGAGTGGTAAATTTGGGTCTAGATATGAGAGAATGCATCTGTGTTGTAAGTGTGCACCACATAAAACAAAACCTGCAGCACACAGTGCATAATGAGAAAAAACTGAGATCACATTTTTAGATTAACACAGTGACTGTGGTGTTTTTTCGTATGTTTTACAGTTGTATTCGCGGTTTCTTGGTCTCATTTGATAGTGGAAGATTTTTTTTCCCCAACATGTTGGTAGTCTCCCACCGAGGCAGGGTGACCCAAAAAGAAAATACTTTCATTGTCATTCAACACTTTCACCTCATTCATACATGATCACTGTCTTGGCAGAGGTGATCAGATACAACAATTTAGAAGTCCCTCCAAACTGCCAATATCCCAAACCCCTCCTTTAAAGTGCAGGCATTGTACTTTTCATTTCCAGGATTCCAGTCCAGCTAACCGGTTTTCCTGAATCCCTTCGTAAAATATTACCCTGCTCACACTCCAACAGCTCGTCAGGTCAGAATGGAAGATATATTATGGAAATAGAGATGATTTTGATTGGTTTTAATACTGGAAATGGCTTGAAACTGAGCAGTGTTCAAGAGTAAACAAATGACGTCACGTGTCCAGTATACGTCAGCTGGTGGGTCTAATGTACATTCACAAATGCTCTGATATTATTTATACAATTATTACAATATTGCATAATGTTGAATCTTCTATTTTTTTAGTGTGAATAAAAATTCATTATGTGAATAAAAAATCAAAATGGAATTCATTTGTAAGCATGGAAATGTAACTGATAAACAGAGGAAATGTTATTTTAGTGCCAGGAATGTCTGCATTGTTTATTCTGTACCCTATTTTAAGAACATAAGAACATAAGAACGAAGGAACACTGCAGAAGGCCTACTGGCCCATGCGAGGCAGGTCCAAGTCCCTACCGGCTTAAGCCAATGCACCCAACCTAGTCAGGTCAGGTCACATTGACTCAAGGGAGGAACACGGCAACCGACCCGTTAGCACAAGCTATCAGGTCTAACTCACACCCACCCACATCTACTCATGTATTTATCCAACCTATTTTTAAAGCTACACAACGTTCTGGCCTCTATAACGGTACTTGGGAGTTTGTTCCACTCATCCACAACTCTATTACCAAACCAGTACTTTCCTATATCCCTCCTGAATCTGAATTTTTCCAACTTAAAACCATTTGCTGCGAGTCCTGTCTAGGCTAGATATTATCAGCACACTATTTACATCCCCTTTATTTATTCCTGTCTTCCACTTATAAACCTCAATCATATCCCCCCTAATTCTAACGTCTTTCTAGAGAGTGCAGTTTCAGGGCCCTTAGTCTATCCTCATAGGGAAGGTTCTTGTACATGGGATCATCTTGTCATCCTCCTTTGTACATTTTCCAGAGAATTTATATCCATTCTGTAATACGGTGACCAAAACTGTGCAGCATAATCTAAATGAGGCCTAACCAAGGATGTATAGAGTTGAAGAACAACCTGAGGACTCCTATTATTTATGCTTTCTTGATATGAAGCCAAGGATTCTATTAGCTTTATTGCGAACACTTATGCACTGTTGTCTTGGTTTCAGATTACTGCTAACCAGAACTCCTAAATCTTTTTCGCAATCCGTAATATTAAGATCTACATTATTTAGTTTATATGTGGCATGGTTATTGTCCTGTCCAACATTTAGAACTTTGCATTTGTCTATATTAAACTGCATCTGCCACTTTCTCCGACCACTGCATCAGTCTATTCAAATCTTCCTGGAGTGCTCGAATGTCCTCGTCAAATGAATTCGACGGCCTATTTTGGTGTCATCGGCAAACTTGCCGATGTCGCTCTTTATGCCCTCATCTATGTCAGTTTATGTAGATTGTGAACAGCAGGGGGCCCAACACTGACCCCTGTGGAACACCGCTCGTGACGCTTCCCCACTCTGATTTCTCCCCATTTATGCAACTCTCTGCTGCCTATTTGTCAACCATGCCTCTATCCAGGAAAAAATTTCTCCTCCTATTCCATGTGCTTTAATTTTCCTCAATAGTCTCTGATGTGGGACCCTGTCAAAAGCCTTACTGAAGTCCATATACACAATATCATATTCGTTACCATGATCTACCTCCTCAAATACCTTAGTGAAAAAAGTTAATAAATTCGTAAGGCAGAACGTCCCTTTGTAAAACCATGCTGAGATTCGTTGATTAATTTATGCTTTTCAAGGTGGCTACGAACTGCCTCGGCAATTATTGATTCCATAAATTTTCCCACTATGGAGGTTAGGCTTATTGGTCTATAGTTCGAAGCTAAGGACCTGTCACCTGTTTTGAAAATAGGTATCACATTTGCCATTTTCCACTTATCTGGCACCATGCCAGTTTGTAGTGATATGTTGAAAAGATTAGCCAAAGGTGTGCTAAGCTCCTCTTTACATTCCTTTAGAACCCTTGCATACAGTTCATCAGGGCCTGGGGATTTGTTAGGTTTTAATTTATCTATTTGCCTAAGGACCATGTCACTTGTGACCCTATAGTGCACAGTTTATTATCGTCCTGTTCTACATAATTTATCATTACTGGAATATCACTGGTATCCTCCTGTGTAAAAACTGAGAGGAAGTATGTGTTAAAAATTCTACACATTTCCTTATCACTGTCAGTGAGCTGACCCGAGGAACTTTGAGTGGGCCTATCTTGTCCTGATCTTACTTCTGTATACCTGAAAGAATCCTTTTGGGTTAGTCTTCGATTCTCTTGCAACTTTAACCTCATAATCTCTTTTGCTTTTCTAATTCCCTTTTTTATTTCTCTCTTTAACTGAATATATCGATTTCTTAATTGCCCCTCTCCTCTTTTGATTTGCCTATATATGCCTCTCTTTTGACCAATCAGATATTTTAATCTATTGTTCATCCATTTAGGATCATTTTTGTTTGATCTGATTTCCCTATTTGGAACATAATTTGACTGAGCAGCTAGAACTATGCCCTGGAAAGCATCATATCGGCAACCATCACCACTACCTGACCCCTAGTCAGGTCATTCCAGTTCAGCCCACCTAAGTAATTTTTCAGTCCTATGAAATCAGCCAAGCGAAAGTCAGGGACGGAGACTTGATTGCCATTATTAGGGGAATTCCATGATATGTTTAAAACTGAGTGATTTGTGATCACTCTCCCAAGCTCATCATTAACCTCAAGATTATTAATTAGTGTTTCCCTACTGGCAAGAACCAAGTCAAGGAGGTTATTTCCCCTAGTTGGCTCTGTCACAAACTGTTTTAAAAAAACAATCCTGGATCGTATCAAGAAAGTCACCCGACTCTAAATTTCTGTCAAATTGCTCCAGTCAATCTGTCTATAGTTTGAAATCTCCCATTAGCACAACATTTTCGTATGTAGATGCCTTACGAATTTCGTCCCATAGAAGTTTACTGCACTCCCTATCAAGATTTTGGGGCCCTGTAAATCACACCCAAAATTAGTTTTTCTCGGCCCTCGAGAAGCTGTAACCAAACAGATTCAGTGGCTGACGCTTCTAATTTAATATCTTGTCTAACACAACAATTTAAATTGTCTCTGACATACATCGCTACTCCACCACCTTTCCTGTTGACCCTGTCAGTGTGGAATAATTTATAGCCTTGTATGTGACATTCAGATGGCATCTCTCTATCTTTCAGATTGAGCCAGGTCTCTGTTATAGCAATAATATCTATGTTTCCTGCACTTGCAATTAATCTTAGCTCATCTATCTTATTTCTAACACTCCTGCTATTAGTATAGTAAACCTTAAGGGAGCTAGTCCCTTGCTGCCCTCTGCTGTCCCCCTTTGTTTTCTGACCTGTTCTATTGTCTTTATTTTTTAACTTCATGCTGAATGCCTTTTATACATTTACTGTTTCCAACCCCAGTGTTGCAACCTGCTTGTTTCCCACACACACCCATACCTCTATCTTCCATCAGTTTAAAATCATAGGCATTTCACCAATGGCCTTCTCAATCGAGTCTGCAAGTGCTACCACCCCTGCCCCAGAGAGATGAA